GAGCAGGGAGCCCGATGCGGGGCTCGATCCCAGGACCCTGGGATCACGACCTGAGCCGAAGGCAGACGCTTAATGACTGAGCCACCCAGGTGCCCCAATAATAAAAAAATTTTTAAAGCTTTTATCCCACTGAAGTAAGTTTTGCTTCACAAATGGATACAGATAATTCATGTCACTTCTGTTCGGTTTTTCTACTTTTAAAAAATATTCCCAGTTTGCATACATGAATGAGTTTATTAATTGCATTTTTAATTAATTTTTTCATTTATTAAGTGGTACATCTGGAACCTGGTTTTGATGTTTAATAGTCCATCTTATCCACAATCCACAGGGAGAGGCACTTAAGTGTCGTGACATTTTATAACAACTACGGTTTGGATTTCCATTTCTTGGTGTAGTAGATGAGTGGTTTTGCGATAGCATTTCTAGAAAGGTCTTGATAATGTGACGGCAATAAAAATAGTGGACTCATTTTCATACCCAAACCATGCTTATAAAATAGGTCTTGTTATTTCAGTAAATAGCATCACATTCCAATAGTTCTCTCAATTATTTGCATTTTTTAAATTAAGGAAATGAATAAGAATATTTCAGGCAAGTGGGAGATTGGACGGCAAAGGACATACTAACTCTGGCACTTTCTTTTTCTCTCTCTTCTTTTTTTTCAAAGTAGGATATCAGTTTCTAGAGGAAAATGAACTCAAGCACTCACCTAGTTAAGACAAGGCATGTTTCTTGGAGGGAGGGATGGAGCTTAGGCTGAAGGGTAGGTGTAGGGTCACAGGAAGGCAGTAAGAGCAGGTGGTAGCGAAAGCAAACCAGGCCTGGGAAGGATGCCCAAGCGCTCACTTGGTTTGAATCTGGGTTAGACCTTTCTCTGTGAAAAAATATTGAATATTTTTGTTGATGGTTAGAAAAGACACGGTGCATACCTGAAATGCAAGTCTTTAAAGGAGAATTGAGTTTCAATGAGTCCGGTTGTTTTCACTCGAGAATGCAGCACATCTTGCTCATTTGGGACATACCCAGGAGCTGTGATTCTGTCGACATCATTCAGATAGCTAATAAAACAACAAAAATAGCATACATTTTTTAAATTTCTGTTTGAACAGACCAGGAGTCGGTACAAATGAAGCTTTACTTCAAGGTCCATTAAAATTACTAAGCTCCAGACTGGTGCTTTTTAAATTCTGCTCATCAGAGCTTGGTGGCTGGTTGTGGCAGAGGGCAGCTGACCCATGGAGGCCTCTTATACAGATTGCTAGATTGATGCTGCCTTAGCCTGTATTTTATGAGGTGTATGTAACAGAATTGATGGTGTATGGATATATTTCAGAGAAAAGTTCTATTTTTGGGTTTTGATCATCCAAAAAAAAAATGCTATCATGTAATGCTAGGCACTAGACTATCCTAAAAATGCTGTGGTTTGAATTTAGGCACTTTGAATTTTAAGAGAGTAATTGGTTGCTATAATGTTGTTCTCCACAGATTGTCTAGCTTAGGGCTCTGGACCATTTGTGTTAAGTGCCATGATTATATACAGTTAATGCAGTTAAAAAAAAGAAAACAACAAAAAACTTTTGGCTTTCTTGCTGGTTCACAATGGAACTAACTCATGACATTGGTGACCCATCCAGGGGACAGAAGGCTGAACTTAGACATTACACCCACTCTACTACTCTTCTCTTCCACCCATGTGTCAGTGTCCTTAACTCTTTCCTGGAGGACATATTTAAAAACCCTACCGTTACCAAGCTGAATACTGCCCTCTTTTTGCCCACAGGATCTAGGGGTCCTGAGAAGGAGGAACAGGTCTGAGTAAACTGTGTGCTCTATTAGAGTCTGTTAGATGAGAGGAAAGGAACTGCTCTTTGCCTCCTTCTTGAAACCAAATCATGTCTTTAAACTAAAAGTATTTCATTGCTTTCAAAACATTTGACAACCACTCTTCTAGACTTTCAATACTAAGGCTTCAGTGGCTTAGCAATATGGCTATTTCTGTGAAAATGCTGAATAGAGATAGTAAAAGTCTGGTAAGGTTTCTATGACAAAATTGGCCATTATATTAAATGAAGTTTACATTATATAGCTAAACAGGTAGATCGTGATGGGTATACCTCCATCCCGACAGAATTCGAGGGGTAGAATCCAGCTAAATATTACACATTATTCAAAAGTTGAATTTTTCAGGGACTTAGTTGAAGAGTTGTTATGTGTTAGCACCTCACACAGTGCCTTAAACAGCAAAACTATGTCGTCATTTTTTAAAAAAATAAATTCAACAGCAATATGGATAATTTATTCTTGGAGGATCTTTCTGCTTTTGAGCCAAAACAAACGGAGTGAATGCCCCAAAGGGATTTTGGCCAAATGACAAATAGGCGATCATAGTTCAGAAACACATGTATGTGTGATGTGAAAATTTATCACCATGCTTGATTCTAAAAAAGCTGAATTTTTCTTAAAAGCAAGAGACAAATCAAGATACAGATCTATCAGAAGAAAATATTAGAAGATTTTTCCAGTTTATCTGTTTTCTATTTTGTGATGTCAGGCCCTTTGTGAATTCCCTACTAAGTCTTCACATAGGGTAAAGTCTACTTTTGGTCAGGTGGTTTAGGCGGGAACAACAACAACAAAAGCAAACTTGTCAACATAGCGGTTAAATTCATTTTAATGATAGCTAAGTGAATACTTTGGTAAAGACACATTTAATGTACTTTCATTTGCGTATACAAATGATTTCAAGCAAAGCAGAAGCATTAGCAGAGTGACAAATTTGCATTTAAGATGCCTGCTTTCAATAAGTACAAGATTTGAGTGCTCAGGCCTGTGGTCTAGAACTTAAGCCATAAGCCCAAAATACATATAGCTCAAATCGTTAAAAATAAATAAATAAATAAATAAATAAATAAATAAATAAACCTGATTCTTTTTCTAATCATGTAAAAATAGTATTTTTTTCCTGTTAGTCTTTGTTAAATCTTAAGGCTTGTAGAATTTAAATAGCACATTAGATGGCCTCAATCAGGAAACCATGAAGTATTAATAACAAAATCTTTCCCCTGTTTGTCACTGTCATGCCCTTTTTCTTTCCGTTTGCTAGTGCTGATGAAGGCAGTTTGGTGTCCTGTTGCCACGGACATTACCTTCCCTGCTCTGATTAGGACTCACCTCTTTGTTAGCCTAAACTTGAAGGGGCCATAGGGTTTTTCTCTTTCTTTCTTTTTTTTTTAAGATTTATTTACTTGAGAGAGAGTGAGAGAACGCGTGTGCATGCACACCTGCGTGGGGGTAGGGGCAGGGTGAGTGGCGGTGGGGAGTAAGGGGGAGGGGCAGAGGCAGAGGCAGAGGGAGAGTGAGTCCTAAGCAGACTCCTTCTTAGCACGGAGCCTGACCTGGGCTGGTCTCACAATCTTGAGATCTCGCCCTGACCCCGGAGATCTGGACCTGAGCCGAAACCAAGAGTCGGAAGGTGAACCGACTGCACCACGCAGGCGCCCTGAAGAGGCTCTAGGTTTGAAAAAATAATAAATATCCTATTTTGACTGAAAAAAGAAAAAAAAGGAAAAAGGGGAAAAGGTAGAGAGAAGGAGAGGAGAAAGAAAAACGGCGGGAGGGAGCGAGGGAAGAGGCCATTGCCGTGTATAGTACATGTGAAATAGACATGGGTTTGGTACCTATTTGATACTGTATTTAGCTTTAAAATGTGAATGTGATGCAGTATTTGAAAAAAAGCGTCAATTGTTGGAAGAAAGCAATGGCCGTTCAGCTATTTTTCTTTGTGTTTTACTTAATCTTTCTTTTAAGGGCCTCTAGGGGCAGAAAATGATAATACTTAAATTTGGAGGTGTTTTTAATAATGACAATTTTCTTAGACATGGAGGTGGGAGTAAAGGTGGAGGAGTGGGTCAGATTTCTTGTTCTACTGCTCTGTAAATTAGTCAGGGTATTTAAAACCATTATAATATGGGCAACATTCACAAAATGGGTACAAATGTGTAATTGCATTTAACCTGAACAGAGAAATGCTTTGAATATGAATCTATAATGTGATACTTCCACTGTAAATTTTATATTTTGTGTGCCAAAACAGAAAAACTGAAACTGAAGTTTAGAAAGATTAGAAAATAAAATGTCATTTCAACTACCCATTTTAACAATACAATATGTAAAATGTTTTTGCTAATAAAGAGCAAAGTGTTTGGTAAACATAATGATAGTGTAATTGCAAACACACTTAGAATATGTGAATGGAAAAATAAAGCTTAATTGCTAATGTATATCTAAAACTAACTCTATTAAGTACAGCTATTGAAGGGGTTCAGGAAAGCACATCCCCCCGTACCCCAGAATGTGCCACTTTGGCATGTGGATTATTTTGAGCTGAAGGCACCTGAGACCCTGGAGGCTCAAGAGAACATTTGCCCCTCCCTCAACTACATAGAAGAATCTTAATTGAGAGTCGTTGCCCTCAGTTTAGCAGAGATACATTTTATCTGAGTGACCCATCTGCATGGCAGGGCAAACATCTAATTACCAAACATCTGCTCTTCTTATCACTCTGTAAAACACATTACTTTCCTCTCAAGTCCCAGACCACTACCCCCTCCTCTTTAGTTCAGAATAACATATATACCTCATTTCGCCTGACTTGGAAATTTCCACGTCCATGTAGATTCCCTGTAGGTATGCCTATTACATTCTATTTTCTCCTGTTAATCTGTCTCATGTCAATATGATTCTTAGGCCAGCTAAAAGGACCTTGGAGGGGACAGGAATTCTTTGTCCCCAACACTATCTTGTGCTCATTTCGGCAGCACATATGCCAACACCATTAATCTCTCACTTCTTCCCTAGAATTTTGTTAAACAACGTTTTAGGAGACTATTCCACGATTCAGTTTCTTATTGTGACTGCCCTTATCAATGATTTATATAGAAAAGCAGTGTTTCCTATACTACAGAGAGTTCTGTTAGTATTAAGATGTGGCTAGGTGCTGGGACACATAAAATAATTCTTTGAGTTTGTGTAGTCACATGATGATATGCATTCTCTACTCCACCAAAGAGGCTTTGGTGGACTTTCCTCCAAGGGCTTTAGAATTTAAAATGAACATGAGTGAGTAATCACAGAAGACTGTTGTTGTTATTAGTTTTTCCTAAAATTTATATGGTTTGTTTTCTCTCTATAATCCTTCTGACCATCATGATCAGAAGTCTGAAGTATCATGCAAGTTTCATTGTTCTGTCTTCATACAATCTTTCATTTGTTTCATTTTTACTGTATACATATTTTTTAAAGTATTACTAACATGTTCTGTTGGGAGTTCATCAAAAGGACTGTATTTATACCTTTTTAGACATTGCTATGCATGTCTAAATATAATTAATATAGGGCACCTGGGTGGCTCAGTTGGTTAAGCGGCTGCCTTCGGCTCAGGTCATGATCCCGGAGTCCCTGGATCGAGTCCCGCATCGGGCTCCCTGCTCGGCGGGGAGTCTGCTTCTCCCTCTGA